TAAGGTCCCCCTTTTCCTCCCTCCTTCCCCCCCCCCCCCTTTTTTTCCTGCCCACCGTTGTTTTCCTTTACCACACTCCCGTCCCCAGCAAACTGCAAAGCTCTGGGTGGCCCTATAAAGGGCCTATAAAGGGCGGTTGGCTATTTTGTCCTTCTCATTGTCATTGCTCCTTCTGGATTTTTCAGAAAGATGGCAGTTGGTGAAAGATCTTTCTCAGTAGCGCTCCCAGGCTTATCATGAGAGGAAACGGAATCGAAAACTGCTACTATGCTGGGGAGTTGCATTCTCGAGCGACTGAGCTCAGTAAACACGGCCTTGGAGAATGCTTGAGGAGCGTGACCAAGCTTAGTTAGATAGCAGTCAAGCAGGAGTTGTCTTTGTCACACTGCGGAGGTCTGGTGCTTGATGCTTTTGGTACTATGGGCTCAAAGTTTGGTTTAAGAAAGGTTTGTGCAGGTTTGATTTTTCTGTGAGGATGGTAGTAATAACAGTGTGCTGTGAATGTTGTTTAGGGTAGGCGTAATGTACATAGGCTGGCATAAAAAAGCCTCAAGCCATCTATATACCATTTATTTTTTTATTTTAATAAGGGTTAAAAATAAGACTTTTATCCCAAGCCATTTTACTTTAAAGAGAAAATTAAGAACTAAATTTAGGATAGACTGGCCATTTCTGTCCTTTATATCACAAATAGGTAGGCCTCTGTTCTCAAGGATAAACATAATATAGATTCTGTTATGAACTGAGATCTAGAATGCCATATTAAGGATAAGGGTTTTTATTATTATCATTTTCTCCCTCTTTCTCACTGGGAGATGAGGTTGTATGTTGTAATTTAATAGTAAGGTTTGTCTGTACAGAGAGACAGTTCTCTGTTTTATCTTTACATCCACCATTTAATATTCTGAAAGTAAAAGATTTCTTTAGTGGTTATTTTTGTTTTGCTTTAGGTTATTATTATTTTTTTTCTCCAGAGAGCAGTTCTGGTGTTTTTCCGCTACAAGCTTTCCAGCTTAGTTTAACACCGGGGCGTTGGAGTAAACATTTTGGCGAGTCTCAGATAGTTCAGATCCCAGCTGTTTTTGAAGTTTAGTGACTGAATTTAAGTATCTAGATTTATATGCAGTTACTTAAAAGAACACTATTAAAAACACTATCACAATGCTTAAACATGCCTTAAAAATTGTGTAATCTGGTTTTGTGTTTTAAAAAATTAGTTCGTAGACTGATACTTCTCTTTTAAAACAGATATTGCATAAGTAAAAGGAGTGCTAACATGCTTATTTGTAAAGATTTAGGACACTTTTCCGGAAAAAAAAAATCTTATTCATGGACTGTTATACTGGAAGTTTTAATGTGTCAGGGTTCACTTTGTTATACCTATCTCTTTAAGGTCTGCTAATTTTTGTAATGACTAGCGACCATCATATATCATAAATACCTCTCTCAAATTTTGGGTCACCCAGCCTACTAGTCAAGCACTGTTTGGAAGTTGCCTTGTGTTGCTTCAATGTTGGTTCTTTTGTAAGCCAACCAAATACAGACTTTCTGTTTTCTCCCTGTTGTTCACAAATTGTAAATGACTCTTTAGAAAAGTTACCCTATTGTGCTTTAGAATTGAATAAATAGATTTAGTTCTGTCCCAGAAACAATACCACAATAGTGTCAGAGGAGATTGTTTTGGATTAGTCAAAATTTCCACTTAATTGAAATGAGAAATCTTGGTAAATCAATGAAATAACCTTAGACTTAGTTCAGTTTAACTGGAATTGGAATATGACTATTACTTGTAACAAGAATGTGAATTGTCAGTTATTTCTGGGTTAAGAGGTAAATCTTATCGGAGGCTGTGTTTCAGGAGTGCTGTAGGACTCACTTCTTTTAGGTCAGCATACAGTCATACGGTATACAGGAATGGAGAACTGAAACTGAGGCCTTTATGCAAAATACATTGTATTCTCCTAGATAGCCAAGGAGCAAATGTTGGTAAAACGCATATTTTTTATTGTCCAGTCTTGCAGTCAATTCTTTATAGACTTATTCACAGTTTGACTCTCTGATTGACTTGAGCAAAACTTTGTTAGAGCTGCTTAGATATATAAATAGTTGGCATTTTTGTCTGATGAACATGAACAGTAGCAATTACAGAAACTTTCACCTTTACTGAAGGTAACCAATAATCTGTTAATCTGATTCTTTTGTTTTGTCCCCCCAAATAAATTAAGCTTTAAGATATTTTTGAATTTTTGGTTTACAGTCTTGTCACATGACAAAAATTATTGATTATACAGACTGTTAGATGTACTGATGAGAAGATAAGCTGTATATATAAAGAGAGAAGAGACTGCTGAAACAGCAACAAAGCAAACAGTTTAAAATTTACTTAGTAAGCTTTAAGGTAAATTATGTCGACTGTATACGTACGGTATGTAGTCTGTTAATGTCTGAGCAGGTATTCTTGTGATAAATAATTTTGATTCATAAATTTACTATCAATTTACTTTTGTTTTTACCAACTCCCTTTCCATCCGTTTGTCAATGTAAGAAAATTGCTCAAGATAAAAGCTGTTAATGAAACAAAGCTAACTGCCTACTTCAGGTGCAGACACCATGGATTTGCCTTGTAAATAGAATTAGTGTTTTAAACAAAGTATCTCTCACAAATTCAGATTTTGAAAAAAAAAAAAATCCCAAACGTATTTTTGCTAACCAGACTTTGAATATGACATGACAGCATTTAGAGAAACTTCTACTGTGTTTATGTCCTGCTGGTGAAAGAATGACAACATTTTGAGGAATTTTAAAAATCTATTAGCATTTTATCATTTAAAAATCTATCATTTTATATTTAGGATATTTAGAATAATCACTTGATGCTGCTTAATTTTCAGTTACTCTTTAATATTATTGTCATAAGGTTTTGTTTCGCCTGATACATCAGTGAGTTACAGTTGTGATCTTAAGCATATTAAAAAATTGTCTGAGCTTGAGAGAGAAAAAGAGCAGTAACTTCTGAGTTGTAATGTCTCCAATTAAATTTATAGCAGAATAAATATTAGTTTCTTACTGTCTTGAATATTCAACAAAAGGTTTGAGAAGAGGATATGATTTTTCTAGGCTATTTTTTTTTCCTGATAGACTCTGTTTTTAAAAGGGAAAGCTTGTTCTTTATTGGTTTGGTTCCAGAATTACAGATCTGGGTGTGGCTTGTTTACTTTATAACATATTTTCTATATACTTTTTTTAATATTTGGGACATACTGTTAGATAAGAAAGGAAAAAAAAAGAGAGGATTTTAAGTTAATTTTATTTAAAACTGGCAATGGGAGGTGGGATCTTTATTAGAAGACTCCATGCTTTTCATCTAGTGGTGTTTTAAGTGCACTTTCAGTTTAAAAAAAAAAAAAAAACAGAGACAGGTAGGGTAGGCCTTCATCAGCTTTGTCCTCAGAGAGGGAGCCTTGAGATGGAGACTAAGAAACAGCAGCTTTGAGACAGTGACTTTAAGATGGCTGTACTGGGAGTAGATTTTAGGAAAATAGGGATTTTTTTGAGGGAAGTGTGTTTTGCTAGGATACTCTGCTGTGTTCAACAGGCAAACCTGAAAAATTAGCAGAGGAAAATGTTTAATAAAGCTGCAAATTTCAGAGTAATCCAGTACTATTTTAGTATTTTGCTCAAAGCTAATATTGATCCTTACAGATTTGGAGCAAGTCGTGGAGGTCCTCTTCCTCCAAAGAAATTTGGTAATCCGGGAGAACGTCTACGTAAGAAAAAGTGGGATTTAAGTGAGCTGCCCAAGTTTGAGAAGAATTTTTATGTGGAACATCCAGAGGTGGCCAGGCTTACTCCGGTAAGTATTCGGAAAGCTTAGCAGTTGAAAACACTTGTCCTAGAATGGTTTGTGCTGCATGTTAATAGATCTGTCTCTTTAACTAAGCTTGTTCAATAATACATATATCTGCAGGGTGCCAGTTCTAGTTGTTTTCAGTATTTAAAATCAGAAAAAATGATGCTTATTTCTCATCTGTTTTTTCATACAAGACGTTTTACATCTGGTTATTGCAATTCACCAACTTGCTTTACAGAGATTAAACAATGTGAATGGCCATGTTTTGTCAGTGTAGTTAAAAATGAGGGGAGTTCAGAGTTGCAATAGAGGGGAGACCTTGAAGGAAGCTCAAACAATGCGTACATTGAAATAGCGCTAAGTTGTTGATAAACAGATAGTGGCATGAATATATAAGAAATATTAAAAAGTACTGTAGTATGGTAATAATTCATGTTGAAAGGTGCTTCTGTAGGTCTCTAGTCTAACCCTGTGCTGAGAGCAAGGGTAACTTCAGTGCTAGAGCAGTTTGCTTAAAGGCCTTGTCCATTTGAGTTTGAATCATCTCCAAGCAGGGAGAGTCCTCTCTGGGTAGCTGTGTAAGGACTTAGCGCTTGTTATTCATGGTGAAATTTTTTTTTTCTGCCTCATAACTAATAGGAAATTTAAGAAGTGGATTTCATCTTCTCTGTAACTACCCATGAAACTGTTGAAGATAAGTTAGCTCTACCTGCTAATCCTCTCTTCCCCTAACTTAACACACCAATTTTCAGCCTTTCCTCCAGCTTTTAGCCTCCCCCATAAATGGACGTGCCTTGTTTGGTCAGTGTCTTTCTTATACTGGGGGCTCAAAAATGGACACAGAGTTCCAGACTAGACTGTATATTTACTCTGTGGTTGCAGTAATCTTCCTCTCTACTAACGAAACTTCAGTCTGGATTTTTTTTTCCCCTTTAGTTCCTTTTTATATTTGTAAAGTAAGAAGTACCATTTTAAACACAAAACAACTTAAAAAATCTGCTGTTAGTCAGTTTCATAGCTCTAAAACCCTTGTGTAAAATTCATGATATATTTATACAGCATAAAGGAGTTCAAAAGAGACTTTTTTTTGAACAGACAGCAAGCTTTGCTGCTGAACTAGAGTTAGCTTTAGTTGCAGCAGCTGCCTTTGATTGCCTTAGTCAATTGGAATATTTTTAGCATTTTCCTTTTTTTCTTTTTTAATTCAAATGCAAGAGTTTATGCAAAGTAATAAACTTGTGAGAGAGTTCTTGTTTAGGACTGATAGAGACCTTTTTTGTGTAATAAGTTTTATTTATTTATTTCTTCTTACAGTAGGGTCATGAATTGCAGAAGCATATAGCAAAGTGCAGTTGGACACAAGTAAAATTTTAGGATTAGGAAAAAATTTAGCAAAATACATCAGATATACATTTCTAGATTTCTGAAATGTATATCCATACAAGATAACATTTTAAAATATTCCATTATTTACAAAAAATGTGGGGCCTCAAAATGTCATTATCACATTGCTCAGCAAGTCTTTCATGCACAAAAGAAATCTTCCAAAGCAACAATTCTAAGTGGTAGGTTATATAGCCAGAAATCTGTTTTTAACCAACACTGGATTATGTTATCTAAGGAGAGGGAATGTCCTGATTTTTGTTTGCTTATGCTTAGTAGTATATTGGGTTCAATTTAATATACTTAGGTCTTAGTGCGCATGCTCGCTCTCATTCTCTCTTCCTATATGCCTAATCAGTTTTGAATGTGTTAATACTTTCTGGCCTCTGAAAGAAGGATAATAGCCTTAAATGTATTCATACACTGTTGATGAAAGACAGGTGCCTGGAAGAGGAGAAAGCCCTTTAGTCCTCCTGGACTACAGAGAGAACTCATAGCTCTGGATGCCCAAGAGGCTACAGGATAGCTCAATTTCCTGATAAAACCGCTCAGAAAGAACCCCTCTGCCCCGTCAATTTAGATCTGAAATTAAGTTGCCAGCTAAAAGCGTGAAATTTGTTGACAGAACTGTATGCTTTAGGTTGATATTGACCACTTGGCATTTGTCTTTGTATTTTTTCATGTGAATAGTATGAAGTTGAAGAACTGAGAAGAAAGAAAGAGATAACAATTCGAGGAATGGAGGGCTGCCCCAAGCCTGTGTTTGCATTCCACCAGTGTAGCTTTCCGCGTAAGCATTTTGCCATTTTTGATAGTCTTTGTTCTTAAAGAACTGAGGCCAGTTCAATAGGAATGACTGTTTACGAATCCCCTTTGCTTTCCTCCCAAAGAAGTCTTTTGAAGTTGCATATAGCTTCAATTACTGTTTAAGAAAATTCTTCTTTTCTTAAAATCTTAGAATATGTGATGGATGCCTTGATGGATCAGAACTTCACAGAACCCACACCAATTCAGTGCCAAGGCTTTCCCCTGGCTCTCAGTGGTCGTGATATGGTGGGCATTGCTCAGACTGGCTCTGGGAAGACTCTAGCAGTATGTATTCTTCATTTTATTACATTTTGTTTCCAATTGCTTTGCAGAAATACTTGCTGGTTTCTTGTTAGTAGATTTTGCGCTTCTTGTTACTGCAAGACTAAAGTGAGATGATTGTATGTTTCTTTTTTTTAAAACTTTTCTCGTTGAGTTATGGGTGAGACTTAAGTCTCAACTCAACACGCCTGTCTCATTGACAAGCATGTATTTCATGTAACTTTCTTTTGATGCTTAGTCACTTCTCTTAATTTGGTCCTTGCTTATATTGTGGTTTTAAAATAGTGTGTCCTTTTTAGCATGTTTATTTTATTAACTGGGCAAGTTAAAGACTGGTCTTGCAGTTCAAGGTGTACATTAATGTCTATGCTGGCGAGAGAATTCTTTCCTCTATGAAAAGATTAATAGAATTGAGAAAAAATGACTACAGCCTATTTAGACTCCAGGTCTAAATGTGCCTTCTTTTCAGAGGTGCTATACAGCTCTGTTTCCTACTTGCATCAGAAGGAGATTTGATTGTTCAGGAGCTCTGAAAACCATCTTTTTTTGTTAGATAAATGCAAATGTCCAGTTTTGTGAGGTCATGATATTGTGTAGCTGGGGTTTCTTGCTATCTCGAAATGTCAGGTACTGGATTCCAAAGGGTTGTTAGGCTAAATGAGTGTTTACCATGATCCAGTTATCATGGTAAGTGATTACTGTAATTGAATATTGAATTCTTGTCTCTAGACTTAGTGTTTTCTTCTTTTTTCTTCTTGCCAGTACTTACTGCCTGCAATTGTTCACATCAACCACCAGCCGTATTTGGAGAGAGGGGATGGTCCAATTGTAAGTGCATTTCCACTACCTGCCTTCTTGAGTGTGTGACATGGCATCGTTAATTAAATGTGTACTTTATCTAGTAGGTGTATCAGGATAATAAGTAGAGAACTGTTTGCTAACACCTCACTTTAATAGTGGAAATTTTGTGCAATTGTTGACCTATTCTCAAGATATTTCAGTGTTTTGGCTAACATAGAATAGATGGTCCAGTTTGATCTGTGCAGAGCCTTTAAGCTGGGGATTTGTGTTCACTTGGCTCTCCTGAATGGGTTCTTTTTGCAGTGCCTGGTTCTGGCACCTACTAGAGAGTTGGCCCAGCAAGTGCAGCAGGTGGCTGACGATTACGGCAAATGCTCAAGACTGAAGAGTACCTGCATATACGGAGGAGCACCCAAAGGTCCCCAGATCAGAGATCTAGAAAGAGGTAATTTAATGTAGATTTTAAAACTGGGATTTACAGTTTCCAGAAGAAATGTTTTTGTAAGATCTCTGTAAACAAAGGCATCTTCTTAAACTCTGGAGAGGTGTGTGAGGACGAATGTGTAGCTCCTTCAGTTAAAATGGGATAACTTACTTTGTATAACAACTTATATATTAGACTTCCTTTCCCTTTTCTTTTTGAATTTCCATTTTTTAAGATTATCAAGACTTAGGGGGAAAGGAGATTTGTCAGAAACAGATTATTTGGAGGAAATGTAGCAGCTTGTTTGAAGAATGTTTTTTCTGGGGCCAGATGGCAAATTTCCTGCCCCAAAATTGTTGAAATAAAATTTTAATTTCTGAATTGTATTAACTCTTTACAGAGAAGTTTTATATATATATTATGTGTGTGTGTGTGTGTATATATATATATATATATTTCTGAGACTTTGTTAAGGGCCAAATTCTCTCTCTGGTTCATATACCACATAATGTCTTGTAATTTCCTTTTTTGTATAGCAGGGACTGGAGCAAGGAACCACAGTTCTACGAGAACTCTTGTATTGCAGTAGTGCTCTAGAGTGACCCCACTTTCATACCTAGAGTTAATTAGTTATATGTAACTTTGAATACCGAATTCTGTTCAAGAAAGCAACAATTACTTACCACTGTAATTTGAGGAGTTAGTGTTAAAAGCTTCAGTGGTGGGATAAAGGCGTACATGGTAGAAAACTCCAGATAGCTGTTCAAAGAAATGGTACTGCATTCCAGTCCAAAAGCAGCAGCATCTTCAACAGGGAAGTCAAAGGTGATATGAAGAGACTTGGGGAAGATCAACAAGGTTATTTGTACACCTTTCCAGAGCACTTAAAAATACTTATTCTCCCATCTATGAAGAAAATCCTTTGTTTGGAGGATGTGTGCAGAATTCATGCTTTCATTCCTTTCAAGTATGAGTTGCTTAGTATTTCCTGCTACAAAGATTGAACAGGCAAAGTCCAGAGAATAATTTTTATATGTATATATATTTTTTAGATTATGTATGGATTATGTGTATTTTCTCAGCTGTGATATATCATGAATTTAAATTTACTTTGAAGGACATCATTGACACTAGAGATTATTTGTTCAGTCTCTTTGGCAGAGCAATGACTCCATTAGAAATCCATCTCCTGCGTTAGCTTTATAGAAACTAAAAATATGCCCAACTCCATCAGCTTTGAGGAATCTAATTTCACCCAGCCAAAAGGATCTGGGCTTGCACAAAATACTCTGCATCTGAAAGTAAGGAGAAAGTTGTTGAGGTTTTATTTTTTTGTTTAGCAACACACACAGGGTTTTTTTTTTAAGTTTATTGTGAGCATTGCTGTGATGCTGTAAGGTCTTAGTGCAAATCAATCCTTCTTTTTGAGAAATGTATAAATTGCCATACCTGAAGCTAGTGTATCTGAATTTGTTTTTTACAGTAACTGATCAGGACAAGATGGTTGTCTCTCAAAATTAGTGAATATTTTTTCAGAATTAAAGCACCACTTTTTAAAAAGTAGAAATGAAAGTAACATGATGTTACAGCAAGAGGAGCATGTGTGTTGCACATGCAGAGTTTAGCTGGAGTTCATTCTTCCTTTGCTAGAGAATATACTAGATTTTGTGGTCCTGCATGAAGGTGGGTCAGGCTTGAGTGAAACCATAGACTCTTTTAGGTTCTGAACAGCTCTTTCTCACTGCTGGTCTCTGTCAGAAAGCTTTCAGTTCTTATACTGCATTCATTGTTCTGTAGGCACTGTAACAGTGGTTTTGGACTGGAAAACATTTATTAAAAGAAACTAGGGCTTCTGCTGAAAAAATTGACTCAAACTTGGGTCTGGATGGGGGAGGCAGCTTTCATTTTTTCCTTTTTAAACATATTTGCTATGGAAGGTGATTCATTCTGACTAAAAATATCGAATGACATTCAAATGAAGAAATGACTCCTTTTCCTCATTGTTTGTTGAAGGTGTGGAGATCTGCATTGCAACACCAGGCCGTTTGATTGACTTCCTTGAGGCAGGGAAAACCAACCTTCGCCGGTGTACATACCTTGTCCTGGATGAGGCAGACAGGATGTTGGACATGGGCTTTGAACCTCAAATTCGTAAAATCGTTGATCAGATCAGGGTGCGTGAACCTTGTAACGGCACAGCCTTCTACAGTTTCCCATCAGGTGAACTGCCTTAAAGAAAGCCTTTCCCTTTCTCTTAGCCCGACAGACAGACCCTGATGTGGAGTGCTACCTGGCCAAAAGAAGTGCGCCAGCTTGCCGAGGACTTCCTGCAGGATTATGTTCAAATCAATGTGGGGAATTTGGAGCTGAGTGCCAACCACAATATCCTGCAGATAGTGGATGTATGCATGGAAAGCGAGAAAGACCATAAGTATGCTGATTTGCATTCTCTTTTCCCCCTCCCCCCACTATTATTTAGCGTAAATAATTAAGCCCTGTAATCATTTAATCGATAACATATACTCCCATATTGTACAACAGACTTAAATTCTGTATGAATGATGCTGGCTTTATGTTGATATTTATTGTATATGTTCTCAATGCAAGTTGAGACATTACTTCTATATTCTTGTATATGTGGTTATAGATCTCAATTTTCATGTCCATTTTAGACTGATACAGCTGATGGAAGAAATCATGGCAGAGAAGGAGAACAAGACCATCATCTTTGTGGAGACAAAGAGGCGATGTGATGATCTCACTCGCAGGATGCGCAGAGATGGGTGAATAGCTCCTCTTCCCTTCCCCCTCTGTTGTTTCCAAGGGCGCTAAGCACTAAGGTTAAATGTTTATGATGCTCTTGTTGGGAACATCTTGTCCATTCTTTTCTTTGCGTGAATTCAGCTTAGGTTTGTGGAAAGTTCTAGGGCACTCGAGTGTTAGTGCAAGATATATATGTGTGTAAGTAGTGACACTTGCAGTATGTCAGAACATAAAAAATAGCTAAAATGCAGGAGTGATGAAGACAGTATAAATCAGTATAAATAAAGGGGGTCTGATTTGGCTTAGACATTTGCTACATAGCTAGGAGTTTTAACACATACACAAAGAAAAAACAAGTTTAGGTAAAGATGAGAGGAAGAGGGCAGGGAATAAAAATGTATTTTAAGTACTTTTTTTTTTTTTTT